CCTTTTCTTTTGATCAGTTCCAGATTTCAAGTGAAGAAATTTTAGTGACATATTCTAATTTAATTTTTAATTAAAATCTTATATAGTAACGCGGCGTAAAATTTAAGCAAAGTTTATATACCATTTGGGATTAGCAGAGTTCATCATCTGTAAGTTTTTTTTTGTGTGTAACTAAGTTGTTTCGTTTTGATTTTAAAATACAGACTCTTCGGAGTCAAGTCGAAATTTCAAATCAGTGTTGATTTCATTTATTCTCTTTCCTTAAATCCAGAGGGTAGATTTGCAGAATCACCAATTGAACATTTGGTTCATCTTTGTTTTTTTTTATTTGGGAAGAAAAATTCCAATTCAATATTTTGTTTTGGGAAACTTAATTTCCTATTTACGTCGTTTCCTGACGTAACAATAATAATAATAAAATGAGATGATAAATTAAAAACTTACGCCTCAACGAAGGTACCCCCACAACGCTTCTCATGGCGGGGGAACCAGGAGTAAAAAATAGCATCAGGGGGCCTCCTGATTCCCCGAACCTGCACCCTCCCACACCTCTCACACTTGTAAAGGACGTCCAGCCCGAACTCCCTCAACCGCCTCCCGTCTCACGGCGCTGTCGTCCTCAATATCGCACTGGAGGGCCAGGTTCAACCTCCTCACCTCCGCCCTCCAGTTCGGCCCATGGGACGCGTTCTCCTCCCGGTTGCCACCCGACAAATCAACAAAGGCATGGCACAGCTCATGAACGAGCACCCGCACCAACCAGGTCCTACTCATCCCTGCAGAGAAGAGACACTCCTGAAGGAAAATCTTCTTCTGCAGGAAATCGGTGTAGCCAAAACAACTCCGACGGTCTTTGGTTCGTCACACCGTGTAGCCCTGGAGATGCCCACCAAAGAACCTCTCGTCCAGGAGCCTTGCCAGCCTTCTGAAGTCGGGATCAGGGCCCAGAACAAGTCCCACATACTCAACAAGTCCCATGGGCACACCACAATCCACCCTAAACAAATTCACTCTGGGCTGACGGCCAAACATCCTCTTCCACTCCCGTTTGGACCCACGCACCTGGAGCAAAACAATAAACAAAAATTAATTAAAACCACTCACTAAAACTAACAGCTAATTATCCAAAAACTTTTTAACTATACTAACCATGTCAGAAAAACTACACATCACACACAAATATCACAAAAAACAATTCACCACCTGTCGCTCCACGAAGACCGGAAATAAGATAGGTGACAGATTAACACCTCACCCTAGACAATTGACCTAATGACCAAGTGGCTCTACCGGCCACATTAACATACTAATTAGGCCACACGACCTAATTACCGACACGGTTGACCATGCTAATTAGGTCACACCCCTAATTACCGACACGGATGACCACCCACGCAGTCCAGTGACCCAGTGCCTCTGCCGGCCGTAATTAGCATTTTACTTGGGTCACACCCCCTACTTACCGACACCGTTGACCATGCTAATTAGGTCACACCCCTAATTACCGACACGGTTGACCGTGCTAATTAGGTCACACACCTAATTACCGACACGGTTGACCGTGCTAATTGGGTCATACACCTGATTACCGACACCCGCAAATTTAAGATTAACGCGCGAACCGGAACCGTTTAAAAAATAATAAATTCTTCCGACAAAATCCCATCCAAAATAGAAGAGATTTTTCCGCGGGGGCTGTAATGTCCAGATTAGTTAAACAATTCAATTTATATTAAACTACCCAAAGTCAATGAACCACCGCCACGGAAGTTGGGCAATACACAAAAACCGCCAATGACCTCAGGGGAATGTGCAACGCCGCATTCCACAGAGACCATTGCAACGAAAATTTAGCAAATTACAAGTTTTCCCTAGCAAGCAGAGGCAGGTCATCAAACTCGAAATCAAAGAGGTGGTAATCACACCACCTCTCCCACTCCAATGAATTTCCCAATCCTCGTAAAAATAAATAGAGGAGCCTCCCGAAAAACGGCAGTCTGAAAAATCCCGCTCCCGAAAGAGCTGCAACTTCCTGGCGGAATAATTGGTGGAATCGGTCCGACTTTTGGCTAGTATTTCGGAGTTAAACTTAAATTAAATTTTCGGAGTGTTCCTAAATAATATTAGGGAACATAAATTAGCAATTGTTCGGGGATACAGAATCCTTAAACCGAGATTAAATAATCTCTTGTAGATTAAGGGAACAAGTAGTAATTGTCGGTGAATGGTGGGTGTGACTCAAAATTAACTATTAAGTGACTATTAAAAACTATTGAGAGCGTGGACTCAAATTAATAAATAAAATTCATCAAAACAACTAAGTGAATGACAGGTATTTCACCTAAGTATCTGTGATAGTGTACTGATCGTCGTCTGGCAGAGAAACGTGGTGAAATCACCCTAAGAATTCACATTTTAAGGAATAAGAACCGATCGCAGTGAGTAACCATCAAATTGTAAAATCCCCAATAGAGCCATCAAAGATTGCAAGGGGTTCCTTAAAATTCAAATTACTTTCACCAATCAATGTAAATCGATTTAAGCGCTCCAATAAAACGCAAGGTTGTACGATTCAAAATCTCCTATTTTTTCATTCATTCATTCAACCTGTTCATTCTAAAAATCACCAACGGTAAGAACAAAAGAAAATCCAGCGTCGTCCAAAATTATTAATCAACAAATTCCAGCTTACGATCAAAAATCAATGTCCTTCGACGCGAAAATTCTCCGGACATAAAATACCAAAAAAAAGCAAGAAAATGACGGCACTGGCAGAACATTCTTCTGATTCAAAACGATTCGATACTGAAAGTGATCTAGAAACTACCAGAAAGAGATGTATAACCCTCCACAAGATTCCACAACAATCAGTTGCATCAGATCCCTCCAACTTCGCAGTAATAGGTGCTACTGCAGATGAAGTTGAAACAGTCAATTCTCTAACATTCCTAAAAAGAAGAGTAGTTTTTGACTTTAGTGAATCTGATGAGGACGATGGAGATGAAGAGTATGTTCCGACTGATGAAAATAATTATGACTCTGGAGATTAAAACAGATGATGATGAGCTTGAGGAGGACATTCGAACTGAAAAGATCTTTTCGGCGTCACTGAATGTTACGATTGGTAACAATTGCCGAAATTCGGCTCCAGACGACACGGAGTTACGAGTAAATTCAACAATGTCCAGTAGGAAAAACATTTATGTTTATTCTGTCATAAATTCCAGACGAAGTTTGCGAGACATTTGCAGATTCGTCATCCTGGTGAAGAAGAAGTAAAAAAGTTCATGGTAGTTCCCGTGAAAAATAAATAACGATTGAAAATTATCGCGAAAATTCAAAAATAAGGGAATCACCTTTACAACACCAATCGACAATTCAATACTGGCTCCCTGATTGTATGCAGACGTTCAGCAGCACAAACCGGTAAAAGCGCAATGGATTATATAGCGTGTGGGTACTGCAAAGGCCAGCATTCGAGAAAAGTTGTTCGCCAATCACTGGCGTCGATGCACTAAAAAACGAGGAAAAAATGAGAGTATTGTGATGATGAAAGGTAAGAAAGTTTCTGACCGACTCCATGGGCGAGCAAATTGGAACACTTTTCCCCGACCTCGTCCCGAAGATCGGCGATAGTGATTGTATGCCGACGTTCAGCAGCACAAACGGGTAAAAGCGGAATGGATTATAGAGCGTGTGGGTACTGCAAAGGCCAGCATTCGAGAAAAGTTGTTCGCCATCACTGGCGTCGATGCACTAAAAAACGAGGAAAAAATAAGAGAATTGTGATGATGAAAGGTAAGAAAGTTTCTGGACGACTCTATGAGCGAGCAAATCGTAACACTTTTCCCCGACCTCGTCTTGAAGATCGGCGATAGTTATTACCTTCGCCCGTTCCCGTGCTCGCATCGTAAAATCCAACCGAATTACTGCGGGCGCCAGCTAGCTTTTTATGGGCCAAAAGCTATCGAAAACCGAAAGAACCGAAACAAAGGCAAGGAGAGGGGGTGCCCTGCCTTGCCAGAGGTCAGCCGACCTCATCAAACCTAAAATACCGAAATATCCAAAAACAAGAGCACGAAAGGACAGGACGAGTAGGGTTGGAACTCGTCCTCGCGACAACACAAAATCCGTAAATCCACAAATCCAAAAACCGAGGACTCCGTACTCCCAGAACTAGAACGATAACCTCATTACCGTAAAACTACCCGCGAGAAGCTAGAAGCTGATTACGAATGGAATGGAAGCGGGAAGACCTGGGTTTCTCAGGATGCTAGGTCGTGGAGAGAGGGCCAGGGTCCACGGACACACGACTCTAATAACCGAAATCTAGACCGCAAAATGATACAGAGAACAGATCGTGGTTCGGGATACCGAGAGCATACTTGCGGGGTTCGGGGACGCTGAGGGCGACCTCTGAGAACACCTCGCCGAGAGAGCGACGTAAGATAGCGGAGTACCGGGAAGCCGAGAGCGTGGGGATTACTCACCCAAAAACACACTATCGAGGGCGTGCCGGGCCCACTTGGATAGCCCCAAATATAGAGAGCCTAACTGGGGAGAGGATGGCTCTCACCCAGAGAATATCACCAGGAAGAACATGGTCCTCGCCTAGAGAATACCACCCAAGGAGGCTATTGCCCTCACTCAGAGAGTGATCCCGAGGCGAGGATGATCCTCACCTAGAGAGCGTAGAAGACTAATGCTTGGCATTGGGAGCCAGCTAAGGGCTCGAGAGAGAGCTGCCAGTGGTCCGCACTGGGAGCCAGCCGAAGCGGCTCTGCCGAGTGAGTGGGCAGTGTCATCAGTAGTGCCGATGTACCCCCACTTTCGACTACGGCTGGGTGAACTGCCGTGTGCCGGGACGTGCTGCCCTCGCCGCAGGGAGGATATCCCTGACATTAGCCTCTCCTGGAGCGCGCCGAATTCGAACGTCGCCACTGACCGCGTCGAACAACCCCTTCGAAGGATCAGCCGCCCGAATGCCCACCCCATCTAACATGGAGCGCTCATACGCCAGTATGAGTCCTCTGCTATATGCCAGCAAGTCTCGTAGGCGAGCTGGGAATGTTTCCACGTGTCTGCCCTGTGCTGTTGCCTATCCTTAGGCCTCCTAACACCCTAAGCACTCGGGCCCCAGTCCCCACACCCCTCGACGATTCGAGTAATTCCCGGGAGAGAGTCGAGATGGCAGAAGTTTTAGAGAACTTAACCCAAAATTTAGTTTAATGTGCGGGATTTCCGAAAATCCCGTTACAAAATCCGGATGTTCGAAGACACATTTTTCCTTACCTTCGAGAAAATGAAGTGGTCGGGACGATTAGATATGACGAGTTGGTTATATTATTCGCACACAAGCAGTGTGAAAAATACGGGACCAATCCAAATCTCTATCAGATGGTACGCGCTAGACTCCGTCTCATCGGCCGTTTCCTCCTGGAAATTAAACGAAATAGTCCTCGAGTAAAAAATAGCATGGATGTGTTCCAACCTCGCAATTATGATGCGATGATTGAGGCTGTAAAAATGGTAGCAGGATTCATTCCAGAGACGAAAACTTTTCGACATCCTGCAGTTGCTTCATTTTTTGGGACACTTCATAATATCTTGGAGAAGTTCTCCGGTCAGAGTGCATTAAACAGGAATTAGCGGAAAAGCAGAGACAAGTGGAAAATTTCCTCAAATTTCTGGCTGAAGACTATGGAACTAGTGTAAATAGAGCTGTCACAGAGACTCAGACCCAACTCCACAGGAGAAAAGAAGTTACTCTCCCCAGCACAGAAGATGTGAAGATAATGTACTCCTACATTATCAATCAGAGAAGTAAATATTTCACAGAAGTGAAATCAAAGTTTTCACCGGCATCATGGCGAAAACTTGGTGAAACTGCCTTGTTATCCTTACTCATTTTTAATCGCCGCCGACCTGGGGAACTCGAAAGTCTCCACATTGAAGATTTTTGGAGCTATCGTGGTATCAATGACATGTCTGATAAAGAGATCTACGGAACTTTGAGCGCTGAAGGGAAAGCCCTAAGACACGTACGTTTTGAAATTCGTGGCAAGCGTAATCGTAGTGTCCCTGTTTTGGTGGATGAGGATGTTTTAGAATGCCTGAAAATCATTGTTGAGTATCAGGGGGCCGCAGGTGTGCCAGAGACTAATTTATGTCTATTTGGACTCCCGTCAGATGACAAAGATCGTGACAAATTCCTCAGAGCTTGTGACTTGATGAGGGAATACTCAAAAAAATGTACAGCAGCTATTCCTCACTTGCTTCGTGGCACTAAGCTGCGTAAGCACATTGCCACCAGATGTATTCATTTGAATCTTGACAAGACAAGGAAGACAAGAAAGAAAAGAAGAAAACCCCCCATTACGACGTCACTCACCACGTGACACCGAAAGAGAAAGAAATCCCGGAACGACGAATAATTAGGACGAGGACACCTGATGACGAGTGTCCCCGATTGACCCCGATTATTACCGATAATCGGAAAGAATGACCACGAGTATGGGGAAGCCATTACTCGTGATACAGCTGCCCCTGCGGAAAGAAGTTTTTTGGAGAGTATTTTTTAAGAGTTATTTGGAGACTATTTTTTGAGGAGTTATCTGGAGAGTAGTTTGAGGAGTCATTTGGAGAGTAGTTTGAGGGGAGTACTTTGAGAGTATTTGGAGGAGTTTTGTGAGTAATATTTGTGGAGGAAAACGTGTGCCCGTGGCCCGTGGAGGAATACATAAGTTCCAGGAGTGACGAACGGAAGCAGAGCTAGTGTAGGCAAAATTGCTACAGAAGTTCCCTGCAGTGAGGACATTGTTTGGAGGAGTTTCTCGTGCCCGGAGGACTGTTTTGGAAGGATTAGAGTAGCCGCCATTCCCGTGAGTACCCTACAGTACCTTTCCCGCCCCAACAAATATCCACGGAACCCCTGTAATAATATTTCGCCCCAACGGTGAGCCTCTAAATTTAGTAGTTATAATTATTGTGACCTTGGCCGGGGGATTAAAATGTAATAATTCCCGGCCAACCCACGATCTTACTAAGTTACTCAAATCTGGATAGAACGGTACAGAAATTGTGTTTTATGGGAGGGCCTGAAATGATAAGAAAAAGGGGGGGTTTTGAATAATTACTCGGGGAGGATTACTGAATTAGCAAATTATATTCTAGTCCCATACAAACGATCAATCTTATCAAGTTATATGAACAATTATCCAGGCCTTTTCTTAATCATTAATCAAGGGTGGGGGGTAAGGCCAGCCAGCTTGCGACACACACACAATTAATACTAGAAAGAGACGGGGTGATCCTATTACTGCAAAACAAAAGGGGGAGAAGTGAGAGGGCCGAATAGAAAAGTAGCAATGATTAGGGGGACTTAAATTATAATTAAAAGTAATTTCCGGGACACCAGAACTCAATATCGAATAATTAGAACAATCGAACTTAGAGACTCACCGTTGGGGGGAAATATTATTGCAGGGGTGTCGGGAATAATTGTTGGGGCGGGAAAGGCAAGAAAAGGGTACTCACGGGGATGGCGGCTTCCTCAATCCTTCTCGACAAAAGATCCTCAATGGCGAAAATTCCTCCAAGCTCTCCACGGGCCACGTGTCCACCAACTATTCCACAAATAAATATCTCCAAATTCTCCGCCAAACTCTCCACAAAACTCTCCTCCAAGTCCTCAACCAAACTCTCCTCAAAATTATCCTCCAAATCCTCAACCAAACTCTCCTCAAAATTATCCTCCAAATCTCTTTCTAAAACTTCGCTTCACAGATATGTCTAACGCACGGGGCAGCTGTATAACGAGTAATGGCTTCCCCATACTCGTGGTCATTCTTCCCCGATTATCGGCGATAATCGGGGTTAATCGGGGACACTCGTCATCGGGTGTCCTCGTCCTAATTGTTATTTATGTTCTATTAACTGAGGTTCCTTTTCTTCCTTCCGGGTCACGTGGGCTGTGACGTAGTGGTGGTGGTTTTCGCTCGTCTCCCGTCACGTGGGCTGTGACGTAGCAGTGGTGGTTTTCTTTCCCTCCGTATGCGCGTGTAGTGGTGAGGGGGGATGGCGGGTGAGAGCGGCGTTTTCTCCTTCTCTCTTCGATGGTGTTGTGCAGCGTGAGTGTAGTGATGGGGGAAGTGTGGGGCACGGGGAAGGAATATCCTGGGAAGTGGGAGCCAACGGTGACAGGTTTCATAACCTCGTCGCCTTATTAGTTTATTTATTGTGAACTTAAACCTAGTACAAAAAGTGATTATTAGGGGGCGGGGGAGGGGCTAAAAAGTGCCTCGTCACATTATTTAGTAATTACGATTTCTTGTGTCCCGGAATAATTATTAGACAATACTAAGCCCCCCTAAATTCTATTAATTCTTCACTCATTCCCCTAACTTCTCCCCTTTTTGCAAATAGTTAACTTCCCCCCTTTTCTTTTGTTCTCGTTACAAATATTCTTTTCTTCTTCTAATTATTATTGTTTCTCTGTGTGCCGCAAGCTGGCTGGCCTTTACCCCCCACCGTTGAGTAATTATAAGCAAAGGCCTGAATCGCGTGTATAAAGTTTGTGTCAAAAGCTATTAAAATACAGAGTATTAAATTATCACCACGATCAATCATTCACAAGCTCCCCTCCCCCTTAATATTTCAGCCCCCCCCCCAACCCGTAGAGTTATAGACAGTACTCAATAAAATCAGTCATTATCGTTAATTCCCGAATATCGGGCCTTGGCCAGGAATTAATATATTTTAATTCACTGGCCAAGGTCACAGTATATAAAGGATTATTTTCTACGATGATCCTTTAAATCGCGGGCAAGAAATTCGTAATAGTGTACGTAACGAATTGTTCGAGGGCCTAGAGAATATATGAGGATATTTGCATTATACTGTATGTATAATTCGAAGACATACGGAATATATCGTGTCATCGTAATTATACGATATGATCTCTATGAGAATGGGATAGTATGGGCCGAATGCACCCAATGAGATTATGTCCGAAGACCCGTACTCATTCATCTGGTTGAAGACAAAATCCTCATTATTGTCCGTTTTGGCATGAAAATAATGACCAAGGGTCAAATAGTGATATGACACCAAATCAGATGCAATGAATTTCTTTCGAAAATTACGTCACATCCGCATTATTCGTCTGTCGCAATGACAGCAAGTCATAGTCATCAAATTGGTTTACGATTGCTCGGTGCAATTCATTCCAATTTTAGCCAAACAAGAAAATGGGAAATATAACCGAATATATAAATGTCCCCAAAAGATACTTTATATGAAATTTTCGTTATAGCTGTCCCCATACTCGTCGTCAGTTAAACAATTTGATACGTCTCCATATGTGCCCTTATATGAACTGGCCCATATCATACTATCCTTAAACACAGTCCATTAAGGATTTCCAATGATTCGTTTCCGTTGTCCCCGAACTCGCCATTAGATAAATATATATTGTGACGAGGCACTTTTATTTCAGCCCCTCCCCTGCCTCCTAATAATAACTTTTTGTTAGTTTTAAAGTAACCGAAATAACGAAACGAGGTTATAAAACCTGTCATCGTTGGCTCCCACTCCCAACAATAGTCCTTCCCCTTGCCCCGCGCCTTTCCCCATCGCTACACTCACGCCGCGAACAACACCATTGACGAGACAAGGAGAAAACAAGAAAGTTAGTTCCCCTCAAAAAATCATTTGTTTCATTTATTCGTGCCTTCACCGGGACTTATTATTTTTTCATTTCCCGGCAAAGGTCACAATATATAGTGATTACTCATATGAATTGTGACGTATTTTTGCCCTCTGCGGAAGAAGGGAAAAATATACGCAGCCCTCGGCGACCAATCTAAAACGACAAACGTTAGGCGCCAGGACGTCTTTATTAAAAAACGGCCAAAAATTTTCAAAACACAAATTAATAAAAGAACAGCTGCCGTCTACTCAGTATATCAACCGCGGAGGCGGCTGGGTTCCCAACACTGTCCTTTGATTCTGAAATGGCTGGGTTAATTCAAACTAATCGAATTTAATAATTGCGGGGTATCAAAATCATTAATTTAATATCAATAATAAAATTTTGAAAACAAAATAAAATATCATACAAAGCCCCGACTTAAACGTGATTTAAAAGATCACGCTGTTTCTGCTCACAATTAATAAATAAGTTCACAAACAATAAATATGTTAAACCAGACAAATTCCTTATCTTAAGTCAATTAAATATAAAAATCATTAGTCAAAAGATTAATAAAATGCATCAAATTAAAGAGATTAAAATAAATTAATAAAAACGTCTACAGTTGGTAAAACAGCTAGTCGATCGATAAATAAGTTTGTAGATAACACAGGAATTTCAATTTTCTACAGAAACAAGCGTGTCCAATAATACGACAACAAAAACAAATTAAATAAGGATGAAGCGATAGGAAGGGGAATTGCCTCGAAAGAATGTAAACAAACCGCCGAAAGTAACCGAAAGGGTTACCGGCGAAAACACAAATATCGAGCGTCGACAGACGCTACAATTCCACTTTCGAGGCTATGAGATAAAATAATATATTAAATCAAAATGTTTTTGTGGCTACACAGACCACGATAAATACTAAGTTGAAATCTCGAGGATAATAGCAATGACCTCGAGAATTCAAGACTCAGCCAAACAACACAAAAAAAAAAATAATCGATAACTAGATAATCATAAACTCCAAAATCACAATTTAAGAGAGACAAGAGTCGTTATTGAATCAAGTTAAAACCACAGATTTAGGAATAAATTTAGTACTCGAAAATTCAATCACGAGTCAAAAGAAAAGAAAATTATTATTTTTAAGATTTTGATGACTCTACCCAACTAGTCCAACCATTCGTGAAGTCTGAGTCTTCGAAAATGGCGTCATAGGCCATGGACATTAAATCAATAAAACTAACAAAATTTCCAAATCTCCAATTAAATAATGTAAAGATTTCAAGCAATCAAAATATCATCCACCGCTCACTACTAATCCAGTCCAGAGAAAGTCCTGGGAAAGCAGCAGCAGAAATCCTCAGACTCTCAATAGAATCTCCTCTGTGATCAAAACTTTATGTAATTGAATTCTTTTTCAACTTACAGCGATAAAATTTTTTTGTTGTCTATTAATCAGCGTCCAAACGAGAAGTAACAGTTAATGGCGGAACGACAACGCTCTACAGGTGACGAAGCTAACAAATACTGTGATTGGCTCGTCACCGACACGAGAGTATTCCGATTGGCTAACGACTCACGTAGCTAATCAAATTAAGAGATTAATTTAGAGAAGGAGTCCGGCTGACAAACAGTTGTCAGGAGTGAATCTCTGGACTCCTAATCCAATAAAATATTATATATATTTTTCGATTCTCGGTCCACACCCTTCAGGTTAATTGAGATTTATATTTGTCAATTGTAATCCGCCTATTTGCTGATTTGGGAGCGAATAAATCTATGCTCCGGACACTGGCGCCACCACACGTTTTCTTTCGGTAAACTCTGGGGATTGCGCGAAATCCAAATTTCCATTTTGTCGTCTCGATTCCCCCACGAAGAAAAATGAAGAGCAACCCAAAAAACTTCAGCATTTCCCACGATGATTCCAGTAAAATGTCCCAGACTGAGCCCTGAATTATGGCTCGATACATTAAAAAAAAATAATAAAATAAAAAAATTAAAAAAAATAATAATAAAATAAAACACATTTAGACTCTTGCCTCGCTAACAGTTTGACTTCCCGTCTGGACGTCTCAATACCGACGAACGGTTGAACTTCAAAATACCACGTTACAGAATATATTAATATGAAAAGCGTAGCTATGCGCCAAAAACAGCTGACAAAAAACGATACATGTGTTATGTCAAAGATGGGTGACTTGACATTACCATTGATCCCTCGTTCAACACGAACAATTGACTACCGAAAAATTGTTGCCCAATTTAAAGGTAAAATACTGAATTCGAAGAGGGGAGGAACCGGACCCCACGATAGTTTCAAACGTAACCCATTTGAATCTAACTCGTTCCCTTTTTAGCCTGGTATCTTTCAACCAAGGGCAGGGGTGGGAATAATGCTGAAAAAAGAGGCTCTGTGTATGTGAAATAACTGAAAGTTGTTTTAAACTTTAACTGACTCTTTCGCTTCTATATTTATAAAACAAAGGAAACAGAATACAAAAATAAGGAATCAATTACAACTCACGTGTTTAATTAGTTGATTCCGTTTTTAATCCTTATCTTTAATGGAGATTGTCGCACCCCAAAAAGAAAATGAGTTGTCTTAATTCACTTGACATAAAAATTATCACTACTTTTAGTGTTAAACTTTACAAACGATTTATAAAGTTAGAGTAATACTAAACTAAGCCATAAAAGGACTTATTAGTAATTAAAAGAAATAGGCCACGAAAGTACCTATAAAATCAATCAGTCTTGAAATTGAATGATTACAAAAATAGAGTTTTAGCTCTATTATAATAGTTGCCTTGCAAATAGGCTAACTTGAAAGATTCAAATTTGAGTGGGAACTAACTCGATTCTTGTTGTGCAAGCATTTTTAAATGCTTGCTCGGAGGGTTGGCCTCAGGAAAATAAGGAAAGAAAATCAGTGACCAAGGGCCGAAGGTCTTGACCTCCAACTTTCCTCCTCTAGTTAAAAGGTCCCAATGTTTCAGGGTTAACTCCATCCCTTCCACATTAAGATTTACTTAAAATATTAAGGCGTCGGCTGATTTTCCTCTCGCCAACTACCAATGAGAATTGTTTCAGGAGTCCCATGTTCCCCTTCACAACTCTATTTAATTTATTTATTACGAAAATTCCTAATTACGATTATTGGGTGTCGTCTCTTAATGTAAAATTCGATTGGTCATTATAACAACTGAGTAAAATCATGGAGTTGAACTGTTTAATTGTATTTTTTAACTTATCTCCGTTGAGTTGTACCAGAATCACTACAATTTATAAACTGATGAAAACTTATTGAAATCTGAACTTGAAAAATTTAGATTTATTTACATATTTTTAATGACCGACAAAAGAAGAAAATCGAGTTGAATATGCACCAAGTGTCTATAAAATATCATAGAATTTTACGACTGTAATCAGACCCGTGGACAGAAAGCAAGGACCGTGGTACAGCTGAAATCTGTACCCAATTTTCCTGTTTCCCAGAGTGGACATTTTTCTCACGAGATTAGGCCCACGTGTAAGTCGTAAAAATAAGATAGATAACTTCGTTGAACATTGAAAGAAAATTTTCAATGCATGGCCCTACTCATATTTATATGTTTATCACTTTATTTTCCGGGAAAACTCGTTACGTTGTTTTTCCAAATGATAATTAATTTCCTCCAGATGTTTTCACAGTCACCGTGAGAAAGAATATCATTTTGAAAACGCCAGTGTGTATTACTCAAATTATTATTCCTTGAATAAAAAAAATATAGATATAATTAAACTTTCGACGGACGTCACACATGCTTTTTTTTAAAAGGCATCAGAGTCAATATTTTTTTATAATGTCACTGAGCTGTTCACAATTCAAATGTAATTGAGTTCACAATGAAATGAGTAGATCATAATGTATTTAGTTGAACGATTCCGCGAAAAGATTGATTTGAATTTCCAAAGAAAATGAGGGTGAGTGGTTCGGAGAAAAACGCGTATGTAATGTACTACAAAGCGATTGATATGAGAGAAAGTCAAGAGCAACAATGTGGCAGTTGACCAAAAATGAGAGGTCGCATAACCTAATTTTCTGATCTCTACAGGATGAAAATGAGCTGCCCAGGAAGTGGCGTCTCAGGCATCAAAATTAACGACCCTGGCCATCTTAGGTGAGAGGTGAGCGATGGGTGAGCGGTGCGTGTAAGTGTGTATGTACCGGCTGACAGGATTGCCAACACTTAGCGTCACCCAAGTTGGCAGTGATCAGATCTACGTAGGCTAATGTAAGGAGGCTAAAGTTTTGCAGTGACCACTAACATGTAGTCGTTCTCGTCACGTGGATTGCATCCCAGACATTTATGAATAAGTTAGAGAGTTATTTATGAATAAGACGAGAGCTATGGCTTCATGAATAAAGTTCACGGACTGCAGAAAAAAAATGTTTCAATGCTGTTGTTCTCCTCGTCTTTATGCGACCACGTAAAAAGTTCAGCAAAAAATTATCTATAGACTATGAAAGCGATATTTTAAATTACGTAAAAGCATATCGTATCAGAAAATGGCTAAAGCCAAAATTGGAACTTATGATTGGGCCGTAGGATTAATTCGCTCTTATCTATCAATCTTTGGTCTCTGGATCTATCCAAATTGTACACTTCTGCGAAGAACTTGTTCATATATTCCAATTTGTGCTTTGAATTGTTATTTATGTATTTGTGTTTTAATACCGGAAATGTGGGCACTATACAAAATCCGAAAAGATATGGAACTTGTTATTGGAAACCTGATGGTGTCATTAACTTTTTATTTAACTATTTTCAAATCATTCTTTCTACTCTTCAAAAGGGAAGGTAAGTGCACTGCATGAATGAATTTTGAAATATAACCTAAACTGGTATGCTTCTTTTCAATTCTTTCATTACCTGTGGACAAAAGCTCTAAGAAAGCTCTTCAAGATGATTGAAAAAGACTGGAAGTCGTACATGACCCAAAATGAACGGAATATATTGATAGAACGTTGGGAACTTATCCAAATTATTTCAATTTTTGCATTTGTTATTGGCCTTTCGCTCTCATTAGCCTACAATTCTACGGTCTATTTTAATTTCACTGTGCGAGTCTTAACAAATCTTACTGATACAATCCCCGGTAGACCCTTGGTGTACTCCAGCGTGTACCCATTTGACACTCAACCATCACCTCGATATGAGCTCTTGGTATTGGCTGAGCAAGTACAAGGCTCAGTTGCTTGTGTTACAGCTATCATCCCTGATGTTCTGTTCGCCACATTTGTATTCCATGCTTGTGCACAATTGGATATACTTTCTAGTAGAATTGAGCGAATAGGAGAAAATACGTCATTACCTTTTAAACAACTGGTCAAATATCATGTGCGTCATCATCGACGAATAATCAAGTAATGACTAATCGTTTGTGAAAGAGATTACGTTTTCAATTCAAATTTTTCTTACAGATTTGTGAAAAGCACCGATGACTTATTTAATGGAGTCATATTACTACTCATACTTCATTTTATACTGGTATTCTGTTCACAAGCATTTATGGCAGTCACAGTAACAAATCGAAGTGAAAATAAAGGTGAAATACTCTTGAAATTGGTCGTTTTTGTATGCTACACCAGTTATCTGATGTTTTTAACTTTCCTCTATTGTTGGGCAAGTGAAACTCTTTCGGACAAAGTAAGTCGTCAAGGTTTGATTCGAGCACGAAATATTCTCAATACTTGTTGATATCAATATCTAGAGCAAATATATTTATAAGGCAGTTTACAATAGTAACTGGACGGTGCTACCAGCAAATGATGCGACTTTAATTAATATGATCTGCCTTGGGTCCTACGAAAATCTGCAAGTCACTGCTGGCAAATTTCTCCCTATAACACTAAATACCTATGCTAAGGTAAGCTTGTATTTAACAAAGATTTTGATAAATGATTAGAACACCAATCTCAACAAATTTCTTGGATAAATTAGGTTACATTTTTTTGAATTCATATCCCTTATTTGACCTTTTCGTTCTGATGACTGCATGTCCATGTGTGCGACCCTATTCATCGCCCCATCTGTTCTAGAGGCACGAGTGTTTTGAGCAATTTTTCAATTGCAATCATTCCCAATAACTTGCAAAGCGCATCGTATGATAATAATTGGAAACTATAGTAGCCCTCCGCATTACTCACACGAACCACTGCCTAGGTATCGGCCTCTAATTACGATGGGTTACATATATGTTATATAGAGGATTAAAAACTACCAGACATGTTTTTTTTTTTCATTCACACGTGCCCGATTTTAGCAAGTGAAAGCAGCCTCGGAAGCTCTTCGCGTACGGGAGTATTTTTCCAGGTGAGCACATAGGCAACGCGTTTAGTTGGATCTTTCATAGTATAAATGATGTGACCTTGTCCGGGGAATTAAAATATAATAATTCCCGGCGCTGGCACATTGTTAAATAATAGTAAGGAAGGACCTGAAATAATAAGGGGAGAAGGGCGAGCTTGTAAATGATTACTTGGGGGGAATTGATATTTTAACACGCTATATTCTACTTCTTTTTTACAAGTAATTAACACTCAATACTTCAGGCCTTTTAACTAACTTACTCAAGGGTTGGGGGTAAGGCCAGCCACTTGCGACAAACGCACTCAAAATAAAAGAAAATAACTGGGTAGACGCTACTTGAACAAAAGCGGATGAAGTGATTACTCTTCATCGATTTTTCCAAATATTTCTAATACCAATTCTCTTCACAATTATCTCCAAATTCTCTCAACAATTTTCCGAACAATTTTTCTAACCACGCGGCAACTCCCGGGGCAGCTGTATATCGAGTGATGGCTGCCACTCATCCTCGCGTTTCTTTCCCCGATTATCGTCGATAATCGGGGTTAATCGGGGACACTCGTCATTGATTGTCCTCGTCTTAATTATTCATTCTTGGGGGGTCATTGCAGGATCTCTTCTTCTTCCGGGGTCACGTGGGCTGTGACGTAGTGATGGCGGGTTTTGTTCATCGCTCGCCGCGCCGCGTGTGGCGACGAGAAGAACGGCAGGTGGGGGGGTTTCTCCTTGTTGCCGGCGATGTCGTTGCTGGCCGTGAGTGTTGAGTGTAGCGGTGAGGGAAGCGCGGGGCAAGGGGTAGGAATATTTGGGGAGTGGGAGTCAACGGTGACAGATTTCCTAACGTGTTGCCGTGTTTTCCTTAATCCTAATTAATTCTACGGTATCCTAAAACAACCTGTATAAATTCGGGGGCTGGGGAGGGGTTTAAGAAATAGTGCCTCGTCACAATGAAAACTTGTGAGGAATCTTGAAAATAGGGATTGAAATTATTGGAAGGGAGGTAAAAGTTGAAAAACTATATCCTTTCAAAATCTGATGTAATGGTTGAATAATAGCAAAGCGATGGAAAATACAAAATACCTGAGGTTAACGTTTCAGTTTTTTTAGAATTACGACAAAAGGAAAAATTCATGGATTGTTTTTCCTTTACTCTATTAATTAAAGCTCCAGTGATACATGATGAATGTGAATTGGCGAATGCGTTCCAAAAAATAATAATTGATGTTATTTATTAATGCAATGGAATCATTTAAGAAATAGATGTGGCTTTCCAACCCTATAAAGATGCAGTAATGATAGCGATGGAAGATGAAGACTTCTAACCACGTAGTGAAGAATCGGATGAAAGTTGCCCCGAAGATAAGAAATCTGAACATTTCGACTATAAATAGAAAGCGATCGAATACTAGAGAAGGGAGAGGAAAAACTAAAATGCCTCAGGGAAAAATGTTATACATCGATTCAGAAAGATGAAAGTCAGTCAACAACTACGTCGCTGAATACAGCAAATTAATAAAACGGGAAAGTTTATGGGAAATTAGAAACGTACGTCGAAACACATTAAATAATACAAGAAATCGTACTAATGCGGTATTGATAATCAATGGCATTGGTTTACGGAGATGAGCTCTGCTGGCACAGAAAGGCATGGGGTTCGCAAATATTCGCATCACCGCGTCTCGGCGGAGGTGACATAATTTGAAAATGGCACACCGTATTACATTCTGGAAAATTAACAAATTTTTTACCCGAAAAACATTGGAAAGTCGATAAGTTTCACAAGACCAATCTGAAGAACTCCTTCAAAAATTTCACTCTTATTTTGCCACTTGGGACCGAGAAAAGATCTATAACTCTGATCAGAGCGGTACTCCATTGACGATTCATTCAGGAGGAACATTAACTGCAGAAGGTGCTAAATCAGTCACATGTATTGCATAAGGTGTCCCATTTCAAACAATGCACCTAAATATCTCCCGAGGAGGGCAAGTGCTAGAAAATGTTTTGAAATATCAGTTGTAGGATTTGGAGCAGGCATTCTTTTCAGCTCTCGAGGTCATACTTGCAATGGTTTTGCATGTAGTTGTCACCGCAATAGCATTTGTTTGCCTCGAAGAAATGTTTTCAGATATGTCATTATTACGGGAAGAGAGTAAAAAATAGGCCGTTAGAGAACTGGGAAACGGGTTAAGGAAACATTAGAGACCAAAAAATAGGACGCGAGACGCACTGGTTTGTCACTGAGAAATTGGTATATTTCTCGTCTTATGAGTTGTTCAGATAATAAATAAATATGTCACAGTGACGGCGATCAAGCACTTAATTACAGGATCATGGTAGAGAGTTACAATTGAGAGTGATTCACAATATAATTGCGGAGGCAATTTGAGAGCGTTGGAGAACGACGCAACTTGAAAGCACGCACGCACGAGAGAGAACATAATCAGAATTATTTAGGTACAGGTCAGCGTCACAGGGGCGTAATTGGAGCACCTAAATCTGATGCACGGCTGGTCAATCAGAGTCAGTGAAGGAGGTGTTGCCACTTCTTGACCCGATGCCGTATGAGGCTGGTGCACCAACATTCATCATTCATGTTAATTTCTCTGTTTTTACGTCAAAAATGCTACAAAAATCATTTCAGGCATCAAACTGAAGATTCGGACTTTCCTAACACGACCCACGATGCACCACGCGAAGGTAAAGTCTGCTCGCATCCCTTATACTAAGCCAGAGGTGGACAACCTTAGGTAGGTTCTAATCTGTAGCAATAAAATGATCAATGTTCCGATTAAAAGGGACCTAACGTGATTGCAAAGGTTGTCGTCATCGGGTGATGGCGCATGCGCGTGATTGAAGTGCGAACGAAAATGGGATGAATTTTCAGGCACGTCTTTGGATATTTTCTTCTTGATTGAAAACATGGAATTAAAATATGATGGTTTAGACTCAACATTCATGGGTGGAAATGGGAGTGGGATGCTCGTAAACTAGAGGCAGAAAAATTTCATCGTCAATTGAAGATTAAAGCACCCATATAACTTCTGCGATTGGGAGAAATTTGTGAATTTTGATTTGGCCCCGAGAGCGAGAAATATCGACGTAAAAAGTTTGAAAATGTGTGGCATGTCAGGTCTATTAACAACATGATAATATTTAATAACTGTTCTCCAAACACTACTTCGACTTCAAAAAATGTATGAAAGGTCGGGAGCTGGAGTAGCTCCGAGAGCTGAGGTTGCCCACCTCTGTGCTGAGCAAAGGACAAAAAATAGTTTAAACATGTGTGGAGGTTCATCTGCTTATAAGTTCATCAGTTGAGTTCGCATAAACAATGCCTTTGATGAGGCCCCACGTGGCGTAAGTTTCGGTGATCTGGTGATCTGGTGATCCGATGGAGGCTATGGAATAGAGAAGCAACAACCAATCCAATAATGCATGATGGCTCCATTCGCATGATTCTGCACAGCTCGAGGGAAATGAAGTGGGGCGCCATCTTCAATCACAATCACATTCTGTGGCTCGTTTACAAGCTCATGTTCTCCACCAGCGCTGGTAACTGATCACGTAAGAATTCCTCGCAATTCTGATCACTGACATTGCTATAACAAAAGGATGGATTTATCACTTCTTCATCGACCATACAACACCACACGTTCACTTTCCAATGATACTGATGATTAATGTGTTCAGTCCAGTCAGAAGTTTCGATTAACTAATGATGCCGATTGTGGGCATTTAATGAGCCACGCCCCTGGAACGTTTGCTCGTTAATGAAACAAGATACGTCACAGCGTATCGGCCAAGTTGACGTTCCACTGGTGTGACGTCATGGGCCGATGCTGTCGGAAGTTAAGCCCCCTATTAATTATTACCTTTTCAGTCGGCCCCCTCACTTCTCCCCCTTTTTTCCAGAGTTAGAGTCACCCCTTTCTTTTATTATATAATATTTCGCGTAGCCGCAAGTGAGTTGGCCTTACCCCCCACCCACGATTTATTAGTCAAAAGGCCCGGATTATTTGTTCTGTTAATATGTTGTAATGAGATCAGAATACATAGTGTTACGTCACGTTTCCAATGAATATTTGAGAGTGATTATCAAATAATTAATGCAAACTATGAGTATTATGTTCTCCTGTTTTAAGCCTACCTTTCGGAAATGGCTTGGGATCGGACTAAATGCCTGGAGGAACTGAACAAGAAAGAGAATACCCTTTTGGTTTTTTTTTAAATTTTAATTAGAATTTTACATGTGCTAGTGATGAGGGAACAATAATTTTTAATATAGAGAAAAGGAACCTTTCCCGACAATTTTTAGCGATATTTTCTTTTGCAATTTTTTAAATTAAAAATCCTATAGTTCACCATCTTTAAGGAAATTTTAATTGGAATGTGAACTTAAAAATCAAACCGTGAATTTACTTTATTTCTCTAGAGCGTTGGATTTAGTAGATCTTGGAGAATTTTTCATTTGGGGATTCTTGATTTCTTTTCCTTCCTTCTTCAGTGTGGATCTTTTTGTTGATTCTTAATAAATTGTTGGTTCGGTGTGAGTGC